TCTGGGGATGGAGTCGCCATTCTCCCGGGAGCGCAGCTCGAGATAGCTCATCGGCTGCCCGGTTGAGCAGCCCAGGAATGTGAACAGCACGAAGCGACCTCAGATGCTTCTGACTCCAGAGGAGGAGGTGGCGGGCGAGTTGCAACATGCGACGAGACCGCAGACCACCTTGTCGGTTGATGTACGCAGCGGTCGCCGTGTTGTCCCAGACTAGTACATGCTTGCCTCATAAGCGCCCTTTGAGACGGCTCAAGGCAAGGTGCACTGCCAGCAACTCTGAGGCAGTTGATGTGCCAGTGCAGTTTTGGGGCCCCGTCCAAACCCCTGACACTGCAAGTCCGTTGTACCCGGTGAGTGCCGCGTTGCCACGCCCACCTCGGGACTCGGTCATGGAGCCAGTGCTGAAGCGGTCTCATATGAAGCAGCCCCAGTGGCGTGACTGCCACCGTAGCTGCCATATGCCCCAGGAGCCTCTGAAATTGTTTCAGTGGGACCACCACCCTGCTCTTGAATATATTCAAGCAGTTCAACACCGACTGAGCACGTTCCTGCGTGAGGCGTGCTGTCTGTTCGACCGAGTCCAACTCCATACCGAGAAAAGAGATCCTCTGCATCAGGGAGAGTTTGCTCTTTTCCCAGTTGACCCGAAGGCCCAACAGGCTGAGGTGTGAGAGCACCAAATCTCTGTGTTCGCACAATTAATCCTGAGACTGAGCGAGTACGAGCCAGTCGTCGAGGTAGTTGAGAATGCGAATGCCCTGTTCTCTCAGGGGAACAAGGGGTACCTTCGCAACTTACGTGAAGACACCGGGCAACAGGGACAGCCCGGAGGGCAGGACCTCGTACTGATATGCTCGTCCTTTGGACGCAAACCACAGCAATGGTCTGTGGTGCGGAAGGGTTGACACATGAAGTACGCGTCCTTCAGGTCGACCGCTGCAATCCAATCTCGGGGACGGATGCACCCAAGATTGGTCGTAACCCACCGCCTTTCTTGGGTACAATGAAGTAGGAGCTTTAAAACCCCGTCTTCATATCGGCTGGAGGGACCAGCTCTATCGCATCCTTCACCAGACACCGCGCAAGGGGCATCAACGGAACTACAGGCGCAGCCGCAGTGGGGCAGCGCGGAAGAACGCAGGAACCCGGCCCGGGCGTCTCGTAGCCGGTCCGAGGCGGGGTCTGGATGTGTGTAACACTGACCTGCGTTCGAGCAGAGGGTGCGTGGGTAGTCTGTTGGTTCGTCCTCCCGATCCGCCCACTGCTGCTCACTGGCGAGAGAGGAGGGTGAGTGTGATACACACTGGATCGTCCACAACCCCCTGTCCCCTCTGGGGACCCAGAAATAGAGGAATTGCTCTTTGTCGAGTATTTGGGTACCACCGACCGAGAGGACAGTGGCGGAAAAAGATGAAAAGATTCTCCGCCCGGCCCTCCTCCGGGGGGAGGGAGTGGTGTGCTTACCATCTCCTGAAGAGCAGGTCCCTCCACCTCTGGGTTGCCCTTCTCAGGGCCTCTTGCTCTTTCACTTGCCACCAGGTTTGGTGGGGTCCTGGACGGGCGGGGCGGCTGCCTTGCGACTGGCTCCACGGCGCAGCTTTGCTGGAGGCCGCAGTAGCGGGGCGGTGGCAGGATGTACCTGATGGCCTCAGTCTGCTTTGGTCAGTGGAGAACTGCTGGGCAAGTTCTCCACCGTGTCGCCGAAAAGGCCGGCCTGGGACACAGGGGCGTTCAAGAATCGTGTCTTGTCCGTCTCGTGC